GCAGAAGAAGCCCGGAAGAAGGAGGAGCAGCGCTTAGCCGAGGAGGTGGCTGCCAAAGAAGCAGCGGAGAAGGAAAGACTGACTGCTGAAGAAGCTCGTGCTCGGCAAGAAGAGAAGCAGCGCTTGGCTCGACAGGCAGGTGCCACATCCATGGAAACTGCAGCTGAATAGCATTGATTAGCCCAGGTGTGCAGAATCCGACATCAGTGCGAAGGATGAACCAGTTAGTCCTGTGACCTCGAAGAACCGCTTTGCGCTGTATCAACGAAACTTATCTGCCCATTCCAGCTCTGTACGAGGACTCGATCCTGCCTTGCGAACATTCGAACCTTAGTTCCGGAATAGTTGTGAAGGTGCATGTGCATGTACACTTTGTTGAGGCGTGCAGCAATTGGATGAGGGAACTGCAAAGCGTCATGTGCCCTGCCGTTAAAGCACGAAATCTATGATCGATGCCAGGTCTCAGCGCCCAAAGATGCATCCTGGCTTCGAAGTCAGGCTCGACCTTGTCTTATCTTGTCTTGCCAATTCCAAGTTCGAATCATCCTACCCTACTTCCAGGTGTCGCAACATGATCGTATGTCAAGGTGCTCAGGCTGATAACTAGAGCAGTCCGGTCTTGGGAGCGGCGGCGAGGCTCGAATACAGGTACATAGTGTCATCGCGTACGCCCAGTGCATTTGCCCCCGCATCACGGCGGGAGGACATTGAATTTCGTTCAGTCTTACATCATGGCGCAGATGACCCAGTCGCGAGTAGTATCAAGGTCACATCAAGGTTGCACGCAAATCTGGTTGGAGGGGTGTGAACCCTCAGTTTGTTGTTCTTGGCGCCTTCAGCTCACAGTCTTCAAGGACTTTCTTTCATGTTTTCCCTGAGCTGTCACGTTCTATTGTCAACGCAATGCCAGGTCCTTCTCCGCTGCTTCTTTGGCAGCCACCTCTTGGGCTAAGCGTTGCTCCTCCTTCTTCCGGGCTTCTTCTGCTGCCACGCGCTGCTCTTCAGCATGTTCATCTGCGGCTTTCCTAGCTGCGGCCAGGCGCTCCTCCTCTTCCTTCTCTGCTGCGACTTTGGCAGCCACCTCTTGGGCTACGCGCCGCTCCTCCTTCTTCCGGGCTTCTTCTGCGGCCACTCGCTGCTCCTCCTCCTTCTCCGCTGCTTCTTTGGCAGCCACCTCTTGGGCTAAGCGTTGCTCCTCCTTCTTCCGGGCTTCTTCTGCCCCAACGCGCTCCGCTGCAGCTCTATCCACAGCCAGACGCTGCTCCTCTGTCTTCCGAGCTTCTTCTGCGGCAACTCGCCGCTCGTCAGCTTGATTCGCTGCAGCTTGCCTTGCTGCAGCCAGATGCTCCTCCTTCTTTTCCAGGTCTTGTGCCACACTCCTCTCCTCGGCTTTTGTTGCAACTGCTTTGGCCGCTCCTGCCTTGGAGACTGCCTCCGTGTCCGTTGTCTCCGCTTGCATGGGAAGCCGTTGGACAAGCTCTTGTAACGTTTCCAAAAACTGTTGCGGCATTTGCATCTCGACCGCCTCAGCGGGCTTCGGCTTCGTCAACTCCACGTGCAAGCGTCGCACCTCGGCCTTCAAGTCAGCCACTTCGGCTTGTTCCTGCCGGCACGCCTCGCGCAATTGCTTGATTTCTTCGTCCCTAAGGGACCTTTCCTTTTCCTCGCTAGAGCCCGTCGATTGTGGTTCTGCTGGTCGGAACTGCTGCAGCAGCTGGTCTACGAAGTGACTCAAGTCAGGTTGCGGTGGCTGCGCGGCCTGTTCTCTGTGAGTCAATTCAACCTGCAGAACAGCCACTTTTTCCTTGAGCTCCGACAATCGTTTCTGGTGCTCCAGAGCATCAGTTTGCCGTTGCGTCTCAGCTGCTTTGTGAACCTGTTCCGCTTCTTTGCGAGCAGACTCCCGAGCAGAGTCGAACATGAGGCGCTGTTCATCCTCTAGCCGCTTAGCTTCAAGCAAGCCCTGTTGGATCTCACCATGCTGTCGCTGCAGCTCTGCATCTTGCATGGCACCCTGCCAGGCCAGCCTGCTCTCCTGCAACCTGGCACCCTCTTCTAGCAATCGCTCCCTTTCCCGCTGAATAGCTTCACGCTGCAGGTCGTTCACGTGCCTTTCCTGGTTTGCTTCATCCCTTTCTTTCTCCAGAAGTGTCCACTGGCGAACCATCTCCTCTTGGTCCTTCCGCACTGAAACAACAGGCTATGCTCTAAAACATCACGGAGCCGCCAGAGCCGGATGCCACAACCTCGAGCATCTTTTTAACGCAGAAGCCGCCGCACATCCTGTTTCGCGACTATGCTTCTGCAACTCATTAAACTGTATCTGCCCCCCTCGTCTTTGCGTTTGGTCCACGGTCAAGGCATCTCGGCAGAAGCACATGACGCTGGAAGGAATCCAAGTACTGACAGTACTGATCGGCATTGCCCTGATTGCACAGTCTTTTCGGTTCTCGGTCTTCGCATAGACTGTGTAAGAGATATGCACACCGTCAACCTCAAGCTCAGTTGGCCTTGTGGATGTGTAATTTCTCGGCGCCCTCCCGGTGTCAAAGATGGCACGGATTTGGTTGCACCCTGCTTTCTTGGCCCACTCCACACCCGTTTTTGCTGTGAAATTCATGAACTGCTCAACCTCCTTCCAGTCTTGCGTTGTGGAATCAACCCCGATGGCGTCCACACCTGCCTCGTTCTGTTTCTTTGCAAGGCAGACGCAAAACTTCTTCTCTCTCACGAATGTCGTCGCTACCGTGTCAGGATCACGTGGCGAATCGTAGGGGAAGTCTTTCATTTCGATGGCAATCCGAATGGCGCAAAGAGCCTCGAATGCCTTTGTTCTCCAGCTGCTCTTTGCTGGAGTGTTGCCAGTCCACCACAGATTCTCAAAACGCTCTGGTCGATCAAGCACCTGCAGCAGGTTCAACAAGCATGGGTATGGGACTGAAACGCGATAGCTACCGTCGTCCGTCTCAAGGAAGAGTAGACCCTTCTGAGAGTAGCTTCGAATTCTGTCTTCGAGGACGACCTGTTGCAAGAGGATCGCCTTGAGCAGTGAAATGCTTTCTTGCTTGGACATGCCCATTTCTTTGACGGCACTTCGGTGGAGATCAAGACGACTGCATGTGATCAGAGGACCAATTCCACCACTCTGCCGTCCCATGAATTTACGCATCTCCACCAGCACAGGCGCTAATCGCACGCCGGGAGTCCAGGTCCGTAACATTGATGCCTCAGGGAACTCAGCACACTTCATGCATGCAGGGCATGGACATGTCATCGAACAGCAGACGTCTCCCTCGCGAGCCTACAAAGAACTGCAGCGACTGGTTGAAATTGAAGGCCCCAAGATTCATGCGCTTGAGCGGTATTGAAGTTGGCTCTGGATTCCAAACCACCGGCGAAGTATGGGTAATGATCGGCACCACCACTCCCAGCGGCTGCCCACAGTTGTAGTCAGCCAAGTTGTTCACAAAATCTTTGAGACTCCGGTCAGCAAAGCCAAAGCTTGTGTCCTTCAATAGCACGGCGAGCTCATCCAAATGACCGACAAGGATGCGAGTACCTGCCTCTTGGGCACTTGCGAAGAGGGCATCCAAAACAGTCCGTAAACGCAAGCGCTGCAGCCTACTTTCCTGACCACGGAAGTCGTCTGGCGAGCGTTCTAGAAGTCCCCGCGCAAAAAGCAGACTGGCCATAATTTGCTGAGAGGAAAAGCGGTGAGTCTGAAGAAGATTAACTGCTTCGGTGCGATCAGCGTCGCCGCCGCCAGAACCACCATTGAAGTTCAGCCCCACACGGAGTATGACACACTTTTTGAAATTTTCGTCTTTTCTCAGCAAGCGCGCAACCTGGAAGCCCCAACGTGTTTTGCCAGCACCGCTCATGGTGGCATACTCCAGCAGCGGGCTGTTGGCTTTGTTCAACATCCCAGCGGATGTAAAGCTCTCATGCATCATTCTGACTGTCTGCAGAAATTCCTTGCATGCGTTTTCCGGAGTCACATAGGCTGCGTCATTTGGCTCTGTGTGGAGGTTGCCAGACAGCGGTTGTTGCAGCTTTGCCTTGATGGTCAGCAGGTCAGCAGCCGAGACGTCGTTTGAGTCCAGGATGGCCAACGGGTCCTGCGCGAAAGCTCTCGAGAAAAGACGAGAAAAGCAAAACTCATCAAACCCGAAACTTCCGCACAAGCAAAAGCGAAACAACGGCCCACAGCTGCCTTGCAAAACACTGGTGGAGCGACAAACCAAGAAAGACAACACCGAGGATACTGCAACAGCCGGGTGGCCAAGCACACAAACACAGATACAGTAACCCGAGTTTCATACACAAAAACAACTCCAGCCGAGAGTCAGACCTTCTCACCTCGAGCCCAACTGCAAGCATTCGCAACAAACGGGATCACAAAGCAGGACAGCATTCTCATGCGCATGGTAAAACAGGAGGTGGAATCAGAATTGCATAAAAACCTCTGTCTGAGTCAGACAGGTGCCTTTCTCTCCGCAGAACAGATAAAGCAACCTAAGTCTCATGCGCGAAAACAAACGACCCTCACCTCACCAAGCAACAACACTTAGCAAAACACGAAAGGCAACTAGATTTGCTCTGAAGCAGCCAAGAGCTCTGCTCAAGTCCCTTCCGCTCAGCTAAAAACAGCTGAACGAGAGAGAGTTTCTTACACAGAGAAAAGTCTTGCTCTGCTCTGCTCTGCTCTGTTCCCTTGGTTGGAGAGACTGCATGGTTTTTCGCTTCAATGTTCTGAATGTCGAACGAAACACAAACTGAAAGTGCAAGCAGTGATGCTAACGCAATTAGTGATGCGCCTCTATTCTTAAAGTAAAGATGCATCCACTCCACTACGCGCACACTGCATAAGAATAGCAAGAAAGGCGAAGAACAACGAAGTGACAGCGCTGGCGAGGGACGACGATGATTGAGCAGCAATGACGACGCGACGCGATAGAACTTGTTTTTTTTGGACTTGGAGATGTAACCAAATGTCTTTTCTCCACTCCTACTAATCTCTTTGCACGTTGATTCTGGGATCCGGCAACTACAAGAGTTGCATGTCGATTGGAAGGCAATTCTCACCACTTTTAGTTTTAGTCAACCGAAAAGCAAGCGAGAAGCAATGCAGAACGAGGAATTTGCGTCCACTAAAAGAAAACTACAAGCCAACATGTCCACGTAGAAGCCTCCGCCGTAGTAGCTCTGCCTGTCTGAAAACGCACAGGCAGCCAACAGATGCTTGGCTTCATGGCTGGGCTGGACTGAGGGACTGGGCGGAACTGCTGGAGAATCGTTAAGGAAACTTCGCAACTAATGAAGATACGAAGCGATTGGAGCTTCACAATGCGGTTCCTTCTGGTCTAGCTCACCATGGCCAAGTCAATTCCAGCTCCATGTCTCAGATCATTGGATCTGCGCAGAACCTCCGAGCAGAAATCTGTGTTCGTTTCCGGCTTCTTGCGCACGTGGATACGCTTGCAAACTAGATCGAGGCGCAGCCTCAATGTCTGAGTTTGGATTCGCTCCGCACTGAAACTGCGGATTTGTTGCCTTACAGCTTCTTTTTCGATTCGAAGGAACTGGTGGCCCACTCACGCGGGGCGATGTGATCTGTATTCGCATCGTTCCAAACTCTCCAAGTATGCGCTGCTGGCTTGGTTGTTCGTGTTGCTTCTCGCTTTCTTTTTGTCGCCAGGCTAAAAAGCATTCGGTGGGATCCTCTGAGTCTGCGTCAACTTCCTTCTCTTCGTTCTCGTCTTCTTAAGAAAGAAGCATGACGAACACTCGTCGTCTTTGCACTGGCTGCAACTTCTACTCGAAACAGCAGCAGAAAGTGCCACTACTAGCAGTCGTTTCTCGAATGCAACAAGCGCGACGGCCTTCGAGAATGCTCTTTGCTTCTGCGAAAGCAAAATGTCCCTTGCAAAGGTTTCACAAAGGCTTCCAGGGACTGGGACGTCTTTAAAAGCTAGTACTTTCTTTTTCTTGGCTTTCCATTTCTCTAGGCGATTTCCTAGTTTCGTGTATGTTCTATGCTTACTGCCCTGAACCATTTCGTGCCACCTCTTCTCTGCAGCTTTGCGTGTCTTGGCTCATTTGCCAGCCGTACAGTCTGCCCTGCGTGCGTGCTACGCCTCGCCCTGCTGTGTGTGCAGACTCCAGTTGTTGCTGCGGCGACGGCTACCAGGCGTGGAAGCAAGTACTTGGCCTGGGGTCGTGTCTCTTTCTTTTCCTTTGCTTTTTGCAATGCCGGCCTGGACTGCGACTGCTCAGCGGTGCTTTCTCCTCGCGCGCCGGTGCGGGTGCAGAAGACCTCACGAGCCTGCAAAAGCAAGCGCTTCGCAACTGGAGCAGCGTCGCGGCTGCCAGCGCCGCCCAGACTTGGCGAGAGTCCAGCCAGGGAGTGGGCTCCTTTACCTCGAAGCAAACGTGCGCCTGCTGCCGCTGGAGTTTCGACACGCGTTTGGCTTGGCGACACCCGCGGCTGCCGATCATCCAGAACTTTTCACCCGCCCTCCCACGCCCTGGGGGAGCGGCATCGCATAGCTCTTCTTTCACTATGACTCGCACAGCACTACGTCCAGCATCCTCTGCGGAAAAAAGGAAGGGTGAGCGTGCCTCCTCTCTCTCCCTTCTCTCTCTCTCTCTCTCTCTCTCTCTCTCAGCTGCTTTGCACTGTAACGAGAGAACTCTACGCGTGTTTCGACAAATTCCACTTTCTGTAACACAAGTTTTCGCCCGTCCCTGGCTAGTTCCGGTCCAGGCCAGACAGTTTCACAGCCAGCAGATGCAATGTCATATGCGACATCACATTTGTTTTTGCCATCCCGTAGAAACTTGTAATGGTTGATGTGACTTGTAGTGGGCTGATTTGCTCACTTTGCATTTGCTATGCCGTTGTGCATCAAAGCCATCATTTTGAAACTGACCATGCAGGTGTGCAGTCTTGTGTTAAGGATTTTTCCAAGCATGGTCTTGCTTTGCGCTTCGACAATGAAGCGGTTTCCAATCAAGAGTTTGCAAGCACCTGTTGGTGTCAGTTGTGCTGCGTCAGTGCACGTCGGACTCGCCCAGACTTCAGATCACGCAGAGTAGAATCCACCAAGATTTGCGCGCGCAGATTGATCGCCCATGATGTCCGGGCTTGGAGATTTGGGGACACCATGCCAGGAATGAAAATCCTTTGCACATAAAACATCCTCATGATCGATTGGCAAAGAAGGTCTAGTGTCGCTAGCAACAAGCATTTTCGTTGCGTTTGTGAATCCCACCAATGCATCCGACAGGTTCAGTTCAGTTCTGGTCACATTAAAGTAATTTTAGATTGGATGGAAAGATGGGATTTGGAGATAGCTGAGAGGCTGAGAACAAATGATGGTGTGGGAGGACGACGGGTTGTCAGATGTGTGTATCTATGAATGGAAGCGTGGGTGGATGGAGCGATGGAAATGAATGGCGACAGCATCATGTCCATTTGCGCCGTCCCAGCAAAGAATTGATGTGACGGGTGATGCGGTTCTTTCGGAAACTTGCGGAACTCTTCGTTAGCGATTTGTCTCTGGATTTTTGTTGGTGTGTGGAGATTACGAAGGAACCAAGTTGCATCGTTGGCACCGCCTCATCTTTGCGGTTGAATTAGTCAGTCGCGACTGGGCCGACTTCAGAAATAGCACGGGAAAACACACACATCCGATTGAGTATAGGCTGTTGGATTTTAGATTTTTCCGCTTCGAAAATCTTGTTGTCATGAAACGGATCTGGTAGTTGATCATGTCTCATGGAAGTGTGAATTTGGTCGAACCATGGAAGAGTGTAAGCTTGCTTTCGGGACTTGCCCGGTTCGAGTGCAATTGTGCAGTTATGTTGACTTCCATGCGGTAAAGTATTGCCTGCAAGTCGGGGAACCGTGCGGGAGCTGAAACCAACATCTGGCGATAGAGATGCAAATGTAGCAGTGAAATCACAGTGCTAGTAATCGCTGGTAGTTCAGTTGCAGCAGGAAGCTGTTAGTCAGTTTAGTTATTGTGTTGTTGGTGTCGGGTTGCCATCTTCTGAAAGTCCGACGTGATGAAATCAGTTGCCGTCGATGCTCAAAACCATGAGGGCACGAACGAGTAGCAGCTCCGAGACTTGTCAAGCAGCTTCGAAACTTGTCGACCCCGTAGTTGCGAAACTCCGCAAACCTTTGTCGCCTCCTTCGAAAGCCACTTTGAACAAACTAAACCACAGTGCATATAGTGCATATTGGTTGAACTTTTCGGCAAAAGGTCAGGATTCTTCAAGACAGCCATCCGCGTCAGCTTCGACGACTAGTCAGCAACTGTATCGATATGGAACGGCAGAAAGTGTTGCTGGCTGCTGGTACTGCCGCGTGTGCAACTGCCGTTATTTGGTATTTGCGGAAGGCTCGAGCACAGTGTTGGAAAGCTCGCCCTTCGTTCAAGCGTTGGCAGGTTGGGCCCAAAACCTTGGCTGCAGATGATGTCGGGGAGGAATGCACACGGTGCATTGTCTTGTTAGTCGAATCGAGCGGTGTCGTTGATGTGGTTCATGGTCGCCTTCTGAGTCCGCAGGAAGACAAGCAGAAGAGACCTGACAGCGACGAGACTGAGGATCTCTGATTGGGATTGGAATTCTTGTTCGCCTGAATGTCACTCATCAGAAATGTTCATGCCCGCCCGCAGGGCACGGCCAAAGAGCAGCTCAAGCAGATTTTGAAAGAAATGATCAAGTGTCAGGTGCCAGCTCTTATGTGTTTCTTTGGACAGACATGTCTTCAGGGTCCTCCAGTCGGTCTTTATGTGACAGGAGCAAATGAAGAGTTTCATCAAGGAGCTGACGCAGGAGCTTGTTGCTTTCTGCGGGGCACTGTGTTCAATCCCGCTAGCAAGTTTGGAAAGGGGGTTGAGCAAGCTGTGCAAAGTGGCTTGTCCTATCATGTGACATGACCAGTGGGAGTCGGTTGCTGCCACGAGTCGTGACGCATGTGACATTGGTTTATGTGTGGAGGAAACTTGGCCATCTGGTATTACGTTGCATGTCATCTCGCCTTGATAGCATGTCGCGTAGACTCAGCGTAGACACGCACATGCGTGCGTTTTGGCAGGTGCAACTCTGCTGATTGGTCTGGACGTGTGAAAAAGGTTCATGATAGATGTCACAATATGGTAGCAATAGAGCTATTCACTTTCTCTGTTGCTTTTAAATGCTAGTCTTGTTATTGTCCGTATGGACACGCAGCAGTGTAGCTATATGCTGAAGCATATACACACGCGCATGCATTTACATAATCGATACCTGGCAAGATGCGCAAAGGAGCTCGGCACGACAGCGTTAAGCTTCCATGAAACCTGTCAGCGAGTGAAGCGAGTGCAGCTGCGAGCTCAGATGAGATGGATCCGTTCCTCAAGAGGAAGACCTCATGGTTTATCGGAAGTCATCGTGCGCTGCATGTTTGACAAGGCCAGCAGACCCCTTGGAGAGTCGTGGTCTGCCAGAAGCTGACGTGGCAACTTCCTTTGTATCGAAGCAGAGCTTAGCATCATTGCTGCCCTCAGGAAAGTCATGGACTTCGACAAACTTTTGTTGAAGCACCAGCATGACAGTGATGTGCGCAAGAGACCCACACGAGCGTTCAAGCAAGTTTGCTAAGAAGCACCAGCTAAGTTCCACGAGCAAGAGCAAGGTGATGCCATTGCCAAAATCATGGGTGCGCAGGGGGCTCCTGTTGCTATAGCATGTGAGTTTGGACTTTCAGCAGCTTTAATTGGTGTTGACAGTGTGGATTAGGTAAGTGGCCAAGGCCAAATCCGACAAACGCTCTGTCCGACAAGATCCAGGCCGTCGTTCGTTCGTTTTGCTCGTGAACTCTTTACTTTCTTGCTCTCTAATCCCAGTCCATCAGCGTGAAAGACATTATTGATATCCACACCTTCATGCTCCAGGACATGTGTGGGGGCGCTCTTCTGTCGGGTCGCAGGGACGTGTGGCCTGGTTGACCAGGAGCTGCAACAGCTGATTAAGGAGTACTCCGGATCCGACAGCAAGGAGACCTGCTCAGTGGCCTGGCATCCTTTGCCATCTCATCTCCTTCTTTCTCCGTCGACACTAGAATCGACCTCGTTCAAAAATCAAGCTCTTTTCTTGGGCAGCTCGGCAGGCCTTCGACACCAAAACCGTGACAATTGCCGCGCAGGCGTGCTGCAAATGGCATCCTTGCAGCCGAAAGGGCTGAGAGGCGGCCTGCTGCCCCCACTGTGAGGCGATTATCGGCTCCAAGTTTGAAACCCAGTTCGGCTTGACGTCAGAGGTTCTGCTGGGTGGAGATGCAGAACTGCTCAGCAATTTTGCACTTGCTCCGCAGGACGTTGAAAGCGCAGTGCTAATGTACCATGCGTCGGAAGCACAGCGTAGCGAGCTTTGTTTGCCGTTGTTTTCGTCTTCTTCTTGGGCTGGCAGTGCCTGCGTGAACCAGGAACTTGGCAACCGACCAGAACTTCGCCCAGATCAACATCAAGATCTCTCATGCAATGAGCCTGCGCCCGAAATCGGCCCAAGTGCAGACTAGCTTGTGGTCAGCAGTGTGAGACAAGGTCAGCTCCTGGACACCCCGTTCACGACGAGTTGAAGACGGCCTTCGCGTGTGGAGCAAACACGTCCTTTGCAACTAGTCCCAGATCGCCACTGCGATGAACCCTTGAGATGCTATGCCACGCAACCCAAAGCTGCTTTCAGCGCTGACCCGAGCTGGCTCTCGCCGTTGTGCCCAAGTTGCGTATGGTAGCAGCTGGTGAGCTAGTGGTCCCTTAGCTGATTAAGAGCACGGCGCTGCACAGAAAGCACCTTCGGAACGATGTTGCCTGATGCACCATAACTTTTGTGCAGACCCTATTCACGAAGTGGTCTTTTTTATGTCAGACCCCCTTGAACTATGTCTTGCAGGTTTCTCAGGGTGAATCACACATGATCTGTCCACATGGCTATGGCCCCTGCAGGCTGTGCAGAAATCAGCCGTAACCACAGTCAAGAGAGGCGAAAATCAGTCATTGACCCCAGGTAAGGATGGCAATGCAGTGGGTGACTGGGCCATCAGCTGGAGCATCAGCGACTTGTTCCAGGCTCTCGAGCTGTGTGTGCTGCTCGTAGTCCTGCCTGTGTGCACATCGAGCAGAGGCTTTACAAGCCGAACAGCGCACCTCCGCCAGCTTGAGGCGCAATCCTTAGGACATTAAATCCTTCGTGACGATGATGCGCGTCGTTGTCCAGAATTGCCAAAGTGCTTGGCTTCTGCAGACAAAGCATCGACCGACTTGAACTCAATCCTTGAGATGGTTTGGTTGTACAAAACCTATTTGATGTTGACACTTACGTTCCGCCGCTCTTCTGCAAATCTTGTGGATGGGCAGGTGTGAACTGCAGAAGGCCAAAGAAGAAATCAGTCATCTGCAGGTGCCAGACTCAGTGTATGTTCCCGTGTAGCCAAGCATGGGACTCGTGCAACAGCGTCTTGGATTTCTGCTGCAAAGAGTTCGCAGAAACTGCACCCAGCGGGTGCGCGGCCAGCAAAAACACCATACAGACGTTGCTCACGATTTTTCCCTTTTGCGGCGTACCCAGAGATCCGAAGCTTGATGCCACACTGATAGGGCCTGGTCTGGGGCTCGGGTAGAGGCTTGGGGTACAGATTAAGGTTTAGGGAATGGTGAGTGGGTGGGATTGGGCTTTTGGCTTTGCCTGGGATTCTCAAGTTGTTGTACATCTCAGGAGGTCAGAAGATTTGTTAAGATGTGGCTTCGGCCTTTCAGGTTTGAAGGTTTGGGGTTAGGCCTCGGCTGGAGCGTTCGGGGTTCATTGTATCGGATTTGGCAGGGTTCAAGGCTGCAACACCTAAGGCTCCAGGAACACGGCTTGGATCGAAGGAGTACGAAGTACTAGGTAGGCTGTCACGACGCCCATCTCATTCCAAATGATCTCCCGACCTTAGACTGGAGCAACCATGGATCTGGATATACTTACATATACATTAATATATATATATATATATAATGTTCACATGCAGAAAATACGTATACTATTTACATGTATATCTATACGTGTGGAGCGAGAGCGAGAGAGTAGTCGAGTAAAAGAAGTAATCTCGTGTCGATGTTGAAGCGGATGTTGCTTGAAGAAGACACAGGCCGTAAAGAAAGCCCAAGCAGAAGAAGAAGGGATCAGAAGGGGTGAAGGGGGTAATTTAAATGCTTCACGTCGTCCGCCTCGGCCCGGCTGCAAGTCAAGAAGGACAGCGGAAAAAATTGGCTGAGTTGCTTGCACAGCCAGTGATGCAAAGCCACACTTGAAGAATGGGGCGGGGCGGAAGGGGGATGTGCTTCGTCAGGCGGGGGTGGGTGACTGGGGAGGGGATTAAGAGGTGGGGAAACAAGGATTCCCTGTTTGAAACTCTGGCCGCTTCGGCCGGGGCCGAGGCGAATTGTCGCCTTCCTTCAACGCGAGCAAGCGCGCGTCAGCCTGGTCCATTCCTTGTCGCCGAGGACTGTCTTCGGCTGGAGCGGAACAGCAGGTGCACCGGGGTTTTGCGATCTTGCGTAACTCTCGAAGTCTGCCACGAGGTTCGTTCGATGTGAAGAGAGGGAAGCACAGGCTTCGCAGGAGGCTCCTTCATGTCTTGCTTCCGGGTTCGGTTCAATGCTCAGTCATCGATTGTCTGGCTCCTGTAGGGTGCTCTGAGTTTACCATTCCCTACCATTCTGCAGCTAGCCACTTGTCCGCTCTTCTTGCTCGTTTTGATCTTAAGCTTCGAGGTCTTAAGAGATCGTCTCAAGCATTGGGTGACAGAAAGTGCAGATCTATTTTGAAGCCAGGTGTTTCCAGTAGCTCGCTGTGCCACGGTGTGTCAAGTCTCGTGAGTCGCACGATCAGGGTCTTGCAGGGACTTGTGGACCAACTTGCACAGAGAGGGACTAAAGATGCAGTCCTGCGAACCTCTTTTGATCTAGTGATGACGAACCATTCCATGCCAACAGCTGCCGTGACAAGAGGTCATCTCGCCAGAGGACGCAGCAGCGAGTGAGCAGCTTCAGCAGCTTGAAGTGCAGCCACGTGCCGACGTGCCGCGCTCCCAGCAGCAGCAGCTGCAGCCTGGCAGTGGCGAATCTGAGGCTGGACAGACTTGAGCGCCATTCTAGAAACCTTGCGGCCCTTGCCAGGCCTTGCCTGAAGCGGAGGCCGTTGACCCGGGTGGCGACCATGCGGATGCAGCGGAGGCTGGGCTCGGCTCGAAGCTTGTCCTCGACGTTTCAGACCTTCGGGACTCGTTTTTTTTTTGGCGCCAGGAGAATATCTCAAAGCCAAACATCGGGCGCTTGCCTTGGAAGGGAGCAATCTTCCTGCCATCGCGGTGAGATACCCGGAAGTGGCAGGTTGGACAACTGTCCAAGCACAGCTTCGAAGGGCTCTTATGTAAGAGCTGCAGACAAGGTTGGTTGAACTGGAAGATTTCCATGCACAGTCCCAGTTGAATTCAGAAGCCAAGACTGTTGGACATGGGGCCATGTTTTGGAGAAGCAGCCCATAATTCGGACACAGACCATGTCAATGGTTCATTTTCAGCAGGTCTATTGGGTGAGCTACGAGGATCCGCTTCAACTCATTCGGCTCCCAAGTGCCGGGGGCTTCTGGGTGGAGTAGGAGGAAGACGGCAAGTTGTGACAAATCTGTTCCGAGGCTGAAGGCATTCGATCTGCAAGGCCGGTACCCTGACAGCCATGACAACTTGTTTTTCAGAGTCTGTAGGGAGGCAAGGTGTGTGTTGTGAGAGTGCAGCCGGCTTTCCCCGTGCCCCACACTTCGTCCTGCTTCCGTGAGCCGGAGCAACAACTTCGCAAGCCATGGCAGATGAGAAGAAGAACGGCCTCACAGTTCTTGTGTGCGGAGGTGGAAATGCGGCGCAGGTGGCAACTTCAATGTTCGCTGCTCGGTACGAAACGTACGCCATCTCCTTGTATGCAGACGAAGCCGCCAACTGGAAGCAAGCCATGAAGGGCCGGTGGCATGACAAGGTTGAAGGCATGGAGCTCACATTGGATACAGGCAAGAAAGTGGTGTCCATGCCAGCAGACATGACCAACGATCCCAGCATTTCCGCCAAGGCTGATGTTATCATCTTGGCAGTTCCCTCTTTCGCACATGGGCAATACTTTGAAGCCTTCTACCCGTATATCAAGCCTGGCACAATCGTCGCATGCATGCCAGCCCGGTCGGGAGGTGATATTCTTTTTGCTTCCAAGATGAAGGAGAAGGCTGATAGTCTGGCGTTCGTTGGGTTCGAGACACTGCCATGGGCATGTCGTTTCACCGAGTGGGGCAAAAGGGCCACGATCCTCGGCACCAAAGGGCAGATTCTGGCGGCTGTCACGCCGGAGAGTAAGGCCTCCCACGCCATCGCAACCCTGCAGGGTCTCTTGGGCGTCTTTCCGGAGGTCCTGAAGAGCCCCAACAACCTGGGCATCAGCCTGCGCAACCCGGGACAAGTCATTCATCCAGGCGGGACATCAGTCTGAAGCACGAAAGTAGGGCTCTGTGATTGCATGTGCTGGTCACTTGCAACTTGCTTTTGGTGCTGCCCGCAGGAGTCATGTATGGCCGCTGGTGTTCTGAGAAGTGGGATGGTCAGAAGTTGTCCGAGAAGCCTTTGTTCTATCAGGGCGTTGATGACTTCACAGAGGGTGTCCTCCTCGGGCTTTCTGACGAAGTGCAGGCAGTCTGCCGTAAGGTGGAGTCGTTGGTTTCGGGTTTCGACTTGAAGGACGCGTGCACGCTGCATCAATGGTACTTGGACTCGTACAAAGGACAGATGGCGGATGACTCCACGCTCAAGCTGTCCATGAACACGAACAGTGCCTACACCGGCCTTACGCATCCCATGAAGGAAGTGGATGGTGGCTTCATGCCTGACTTGAAGTACCGATACCTCGCCGAGGATGTTCCGACAGGCTTGTGCTTCACCAGAGGACTCGCGGAGCTTCTGGAAGTGCCAACGCCCACCATGGACAAGGCAGGGACAAAACCCACAAAGCGAATAGAGTCGTAGATCATAGTTAGGGACAGCCGCACTTAGAGAGAAGGAGATGGAGACCTTTCTCGGGATGCTATCAAAAGTTTGAGCTTACTGACTTATTTATCTTTATGTGAAGTGCACACAGTCACGGTCGTCCTCTCATGTGTGGGGTTTATGAGAGCTGTGGTAGAGTAGTCCCAGGAGGCTGACGGGTGAGGGAGGTGTCTGGCTTTTGCTGAGAGTGCTGAAGCCGGTGTTGGAGGCCGGATAGCTCTTTGGAGGGTCAAGGATGTTTGGTCTTGTAAGCTGTAAGCCCATAATGAGCCCCCCAAACTTACAATTGTCAGGTGATCACCTTCGCCCAGGAGCACCTCGGCAAAAGCTTCCTGACTGATGGCAAGATGGCCGGTGCCAACATTGGGGAAACGCGCGCACCGCAGGCTGTCGGAATCAATTCCAAGGAGGAGTTCTTCAAGATGGCCAAGATCGCCTGAGCACTTCAGTGAGCTCCATCTCTTGCCTTTGCAGAGCCGAGCTGCTGGTGGAGCGCGCCTTGCAATAACGGCATCCTGTGCGCGTGCACCGGCGAGCCAATAGCTTTCGGTGCTTTTCATCGTCTCAACCGCATTGGCAGAGCCAAGCGCGTGTTCGGACGATTCAACCAAGAGTTTGAATCAACCACTTACATAGTCACGGAAAGGTTTCAGCATTGTTCAAGGCAAGCATTGCAAAGACTGTCTGTGTTGGATTGTTGCAATGGTGCCCTGTCAACATCTATATAAAACTTTGACGGACCTTGTTCGTGTCAGGGGTCAGGAGGATGTTGCACACGAGGACACCGCGCAGGGCCGAGTTCGCACATGGGAATGGCTGTCAAGCAAGCAGGCTTTTCATGTGGAGTTTTCAAAAGGTCCGCGGCGCGCTGAGCTCTTCCAGGCCCTTGAAACGAGAGGAGGCTGAGGTGCTCCTGTCAGCACCTCGATCGGGTCATTTTTTTCACGCAAGTGCTGCAGTCAGTGGGACCTCAGGCCCGGCACCCCTGAGCGAAGGCCGCCGACCCGGTGAGGGCTTTGGAGGTTGAAAGAAGAAGCTTCTGCTCGGAGCCAAGGCCACGTGCCCTTCGACCCCCGAGCCCGGATCTGACCCGCAGAGTCAAGCGGACTGCGATCGATTCTCCGCATACCGGCGGACTCGCCGTCAGGTGCAGAACGCTGCTTCTCGGCTCGGGGAGTGTTGCAAGGCGCCTGAAGCGCGTCAACCATTCTGGTGACGCATCCTTCTGGACAGTGCATCGGAAGGTCAAGGGGTGGCCGTGATGCAGGCAGCCATCGTGACAGTGCCATGCTCTTCCTTGCTTGGTGCATTCTGAACCCGTCGCCGTGTCTTGCAGGTGCCGATCGCACGGACCATCACGCCAAGGCGGGGTGGGATGCTCCTGGCTCTTGGATTACCATCCTTGGCCTTGGCCACTGACGGCTTCTGACCGGGGAGTCGGGAGGCCGGTGCCGGCCTTCAGTCATTTCGCGCCGGCGCGGCAGGCTCGGCAGGTGCGAAGCCGAGTGCAGTTGCAGTCAATCAAACAGTGACTGCATGCAGGCAGGGACGGCATTCTGGCATTCGGTAGCAGCTAGAGTCCTTCGAAGCCTTTGTCAGCCATGAGGTTTCTCCACTGCCGTGGCAGGCTCAAAGCTTGCAGCCGTCTGAAAGGCGCCTTACGGTGAGCAATTTCATGCCCTGCATTTGTCAAGCGATACCTGCGTGCTGTCGGAAAGACTTATGAGCCTTACTGCTTGCACACTGTCAGGCGGAGATCGAGCTCAACGCAGTGCTTGCATGTCCGGTCCCTAGTGTGCAGGGAATTGCGTTCATGAATCCGCAGCCGAATGACGCTTGTGAGTGACACAGGCGAGACACTCTCTGCTACAGCGGCAGAGATCAGGCCTACCTATGTTACATAGCCTATGTTTACTTGGAGAGGATTCGCGGAGCAAATCTGGCTAGCAAATCTGTTGCATACAAACACGGCGACAAGCATAGCATCGGTCAGCTCTGAAGCCTTTGTCCACATCTTGTTTAAGTTTGTTGTGATGCTTGCTTACACAAGTGACTGCTGGTGGTTACGGGCTAGTGTGAAGAAGAGATCAGAAACTGCGTTCCTGAATCTAGGCCGCACAAACTGGGTGTCCTTGGAGGGGTGGGGGGGGGGGTGGGGGGTGGGGTCTGATAGCGAACATATTCATCCTCATCAGGAACCAATATCATCATCAACAGCAGCATGAGCACCATTAAGAGATTAAGCATCACTATGAATACCATCGGCATCGTCATCTACGCACGGACATGCACATCATCGCCATCGTCATCAATGTTTTAGTCTTCCTCTTCCTTTTCATCAACCTCATCAGAATAATAACAGTACCAATCGTCACAGTTATCATCATCGTCATCAGCATCATTATTATTATCACTGTATCACCATTATTATGATCATCACAGTCGCTATCGGCATCATCATCTGCATACGAACATGAACATCATAGTCAGCGTCATCAACATCATCATCATCGTCACCATCATTATGATGTTCTTCTTCCTCCTCACAACAATAATAACAGTAATACTGGTATCATTAATAACAATAATAACAGTACTAGCAGCAACAGTAATCATAGTAAAAGTAGACATAATCACAACAATTATCACTTTACTAATAGGAATAATTATAGTAATAGTTATCATAGTAAGAACAATAATAATGGCAGCAATCCGGATCAGCATCATCACCATTATCCTCCTCCTCCTCCTCATCATTTTCGTCGTCGTCGTCATCATCATGTCATCATCGTCATCATCGTCATCATCGTCATCGTCAGCATTAGCTTCAGCATCAGCATCATCATCGTCGTCATCAGCATCACCAGCATGTATTATCAATATGTTCTCAAGAACACTCGCGTCATCATCATCAGCATCATCACCATCATCATCAACATCATCATCTTCAACACCTTTCTTGTTCGTCAAGAAGAACACCTGTGTCGTCGTCCTCCTCCTCCGCCTCCTCCTCCTCCTCATCATCATCACCAGCTGCACCAACATCAGCAGCATCAACATCATCTTAATCCCTATCATCACCACCACTCGTATATCCAATACTCTCCAGCCATACCTCCAGCCGCAAGATGCAGAAAATGTGTCCAACACTTGTGTGGCACGTCCTGCATACAAACCCTTCTGGACGACGCGGAAATCTGAAGAATTCAACTCCGAATGTCCTAGCATCAAACATCTGAAGCCTTAGCCCTGGAATGGAAAAGCCCCACAGACGCAAGCTGAACCAAATCCTTGGCCTTGACGACATGTGACATTGTCTGGCTATACCCAGATTTGCTGTGGCAAATGTGGGTTACACACCCTGAATCTAACACGCGCCATTCGGCCAGAAGTAAGGGAACGGAAACAGCTCCGCCTCGATACAGGGTTCCTTCATACATCAATCTTCCAGTCATTGTCAAGTAAGTTGGCACGAGCCTGGCAGGCTTTCGGACTTGCTCATGAATCGATGTCGAGTTCCTGATTTTTATTTCCATCCTGTGAAAGACAGCATGTAACATGCATCAACAGACATGTTGAGCTTCTTTGGGAAAAGGCGAGTGGTCAATCCCGTTTGGTTTGCCACAATTGGAAAGATGCAGAACAGGCAGCTTCTGACATTACAACCTCGCATCGCGAAGATACACCCTTTCACGCACGCCATGTCGAAGTGCTTGTGAAAACGAATCTGGGTGAGCTGACAGCTTGTTCATGGTCATGTTTGTTCCGACATGTCGGGAATTTGGATACAGCAAGAACGAACCAGTGCTTGCGACCCGAAAACTTACGTATGGAGAGAGCATTTCCGACTTTGTCGAATTGTGCACCACACAACTTGCACTGCCCGATGGCACCACAACTCTGCCAGTTGTCAATGTCCTTTACGGTAATTCGTTTCTTGAAGGCAGCCTTCACAGCAGCACGAGGCCCACCCCTTCGGCTTGAGTTTCAAGACGCGACTGCGCCAAGTGGGAAGCATGGAAGGTCTTTACATCCTCCGGAAGTTGGTTCGATCTCACAGCATCTGCCATCAAGGGTCCGGCCTCTGCATGTCTACCATGCTAGTTTATCTGGAGATGCGCCAGGGAGATAAAGCAGGTGTATTGTCGGCCGTGGCTTACCACCATGCCGTCTCAGCTGCCCGCAGCTTAGGAAAGGAAAGCTCCACCCCAGCAATCTTCCACTTGCTGTTTGCTGGAAGGCGTGCGTGCAGCAGTTCAAGAAGCGCCGTCGTGTGATGCCTTTCTGTGCTTCGAGTGCTCTGGTACGCTTCGCGTGCTAGGGTTTGAGTTTCATCCTGTTTCGTGGACGGAGGCTAAGGAGTGCATGTAACCGGTGAGTATTGCCATCAAGCAAAGCGAATTGACAGGAGTCTCACTCTTGCTATCTGACGCATCCTGGCCTTTCGCAAAAGGCTCGCGCGGTTGACAAACCTATTTTTTGTATTCTCTTTGCAGGATATTGGGTGCTAGAAGCTGCTAGTCATTGCTGCTGTTAGGATTAGGGTAGGAATTGTAGGAATACGTTCTGCTATCTGAACCACTGCTCTATTTCAGGTTCCGGTGTACCATCATGCGCATTGCTCCTTGGTTTAGGGTTTGCCATAGTGGTCAGGCCCGAGTCATGCCCTCTGGAATTTCGGGTTCGTTTCGAGTTTCGGGTTTCGGCCCTGGTCCCTTCCAGGATTTGGTGACTGCTGTCCGGCTCATGAGCACAGTTCAGATGGACAGAAGTGTGCCCTCACAGGCCAATACGTCAACGTCCCAAGCTACTTGTACCCCTCAGCGAAAACATGATTTCGGACAGCGTTGTCTGTGCAACGTCTGTTCTTGCGGTAAGGCCAGGCCACATGAACGGCATCGAAGACCCCAAGAGTTAATGCCGGAGCAAGCACAAGGGACGGCGATGTGCATAGTGACATAGACTAGATCACACATCTCCATGTCGTGAGCCTGTCCGGCGCTCAGCTACCCTTCCAGCTCTAGCGCCCGTGGGGAGCAGTGAGATGTTGCAGAAACACCCGCCGAGTCGGCTTGCCCCGCAGATCCTTCAGATCTGGGGGGTTACCGTAGTACGGTTTGCCTCACCTCACCGAGGCATGGCTCAGCAGGCCTGGGGGGGGGGCACCCAAAGCCTTTCCCAGAGTCTCGGAGACCAGCTCTTGGCTTTCCTCTGTGGGGAAAAATGCACCTGAGTCGCTGGAATGTTCCAAGGATGAGCGTCTGAGAGGAGGCACCGGCAGTGGACCTTACCCATCTGGAGAAGTTGCAGCGGAGTTTAATCGCTTCCAGGCCGATCGCGTACATTTTGGCGTCGCAGGAGAACCTGCTGCTCCTGCTGCCGAGGCGGCCAAGATAGGAATGGCCTGACACCACATATAGACTTGCACTCCTAGAGTGTT